CAGCCCGTGGAAAGCTTGAGATTCACTTAAAAATGTTATGTCATCTGTTATTTGACAAAGCAAGTCACTTGTTTTCCACGAAGGACTGAGACAGCGATGCTTTATGTTAACTCCATATTAAACTATTCATGCTGTTTGGATTATGCAAAGACACAGCAGAGCTGTTCATAAATCTGTTTGAATTGCTTAGTGTATAGAATCAAGAGGAACATTTCTTGCTTCCGACTATTAGTGTCATACAGTAGGAACTATGTAAAGCAGGCCTTTGCTGAAAAATGATCCGAGCCGCATGTGAGGGAGCTGAAGCCATAAAGCTGCCCACTCCATCACGGCTCCTATCGCTGAGATTGATCAGCCCGCTCCCATTTGAGTGATTTCCCTCCGGATTCAATGCAGCGCAATTAGTCGCCTGCCGTATTTTGCTTTCACATTGCTCTTTGACCCTCCATCGCACGTGTATGAGTCAGTGCAGCACTCTGCCGATATGAGTTCCTCCTAACAGCTCCTGTATTTGCACAGGCCATCTCCTCTCGGCCTTTCAACACTGTCCCTCCCACTGCCGCTAAAGAGGATCACGGATCGCTGGCGAGCAGCCAAGTCATTCTACCTGCTGAGATGGAATATAGCCCTGACCATCTACACCGGGGTTAGCACCAGTCTCTGTCTCTCTGAGAACTGTATGCTGGGAGTTTCTCTCAGACTGCCAGCCTCAGCATTGGACATCATCACACGGCCTTCCTGACCTCTTTGGCTCCCAACGCTGACTGTAAAAACAAAAACTCCACTCCAAAAGTGATCTCCTTAAGTAAGGGTTTCCAATCCAATTTTACGCAAGGAGAGTGCTTAAGATTAGAGATAGTGTTTTTATTGTGCTCTTCAGTAATAGGAGTAGAAGGGATGAAAGGAGAGATAGAGGGAAGGAGGGAAAGAGGAATGGAAAGGAGGGGAGATCGATAAAGGATGCTCTTGCTGGTTGCCTTTATTCTTAGTCTTCATGTCCGTGGAGACGAGGTTTAGGTGGCTCATGGCAGCAGGCCATGTAAGGGGGGCATTAAAGTGTCGCAAAGGGACCTGTTCTTTTCCAATAAACAGGCCTGCAGGTTGAGAAACACCCGAATCCCAATATAACCACGACTCGTAGCACTCGTTCGCAGCTGTAATGAACAGCAATATCTTTCAGTGGAAAGAGATGTGCTGTGTACCTGACCGGATTGTCATGGAGGGCTTTTCAGGCAACGTGGATTATCTTGACGACGGCGAGTCAGCCCCAGCGAAAAGGGCACGCGGTCGCACTGGGACGAGCACAGCTCCCCTGATTTGCATGTGCCTTTTTTCTTCTCCCAGTTCATCTCCAGTCGAATAACTCGTTTGTCACATACATCAGAGGAAGGCGAAGATCATACGAGAGCCAGTGTTACTTTGTGTTTCACTAATGAGGCCTTTACTCTCCACCTCCTTGCTTTCGCCTCGCTGCCCTTTGAAACAGCAGCAGCATGGTGCTACAACACTTTGGTAGTTTTCTCTCCCCAATACCCAGCTCCGGGCTGTTATCCTGTTTGTGTGTCACTTGTCTCCTGTGTGTGCCGTGCGAGTGTGAGGTTCCAGATTGTGACCCGAGCGTAGAGGGACACTTCGGGGCAGATGATGATTTAACAAGTACAGTGGAACATGTCATGACTAATGTCGATCTGAGGCATGAAGAAGAAATGGCAAACAGTGCTTCAAGTGAGGAAAGTAAACTAAATCACAGGCCTTCCTAAACTAAGAAACCAAGGATATTGAAAAACAAAAAGCTCTCGTACAACATCGAAACGGAAATAGGAAAGAGAACAAATCACAAAAAATGTCTTGAGGAAAAGAGATTTTCATTTTATGACCAGAGAAGAATTTGTGAAGAATCCACAGATCTTGACAAAATAGTCAGCACCATGATCTATGCCATAGTCCACATTCTCATACAGAGTGTTTTTATCATTGAGTGTCATGATTTCAAATCCTAGTCCCAAGAAACATAAACAACCCCAACTCTTCAGCTCTTTGTACACATTTCATTTTCACATTTTTTAATTTCCACGTCATTGTTGGCTTCACATCGAATTCACACACGTTTTTTGTTTCAAGGAGTTGTTAGACAAAAGCAACAGCACCATTTAATCTTGAGGCTTTCACTTTCGTTTCAGCTTGTATGTACATATTCACTTTTGCTTTTTTGTCAAGCTATTGTGTTTTGTTTCGAGAGACGGAAAACCAAGGGACGCATCATTTGGTGGGGGAATTTAAACTTCCTGAGATACGATGCAGGGGGTCCAATTTAAGTATAACATCCATCAGTATGAGGGTACACAATACACTAAAACACTCCCCATCTTCTGAAATATGACTGCGTCAATTGTACAACACAGATATCAGAACATATTGACAGGCGGCACGACATATTGATTGACTGACTTTGATTGGATAAATCTGTAATGCAGGATGATACTGAAATGCCCCGCGGCAGAAGCTGAGACCTTATCAAGCTTTTTTTTTCCCGCATCCATTTCGTTGTTTTGCCAGAGCCCTCGGCTTCAGGACTCCTCCTGTGCTAATGTGGGTATGAAAAACTAATGAGGACTCTGTGCTGTTTCGACGGCCTGAGGTGCCACAGAATCCCGGATTTAACCAGTCAGTGCGTCATTCAGTAGCCCAGCTAGCAAAATTAGGTTTCGCAAAAACTGGAGTAAGAACTTGATATGCGTACGATGATGTTTTATCATGTAATCACTGAAAAACTGCTCAGTAGATCCTTAAAATCACGAATCAGGACCATGGGCATCAGCCTTGACAGTGACTAACAAAAAGATGAGAAGTGGAGCTTTGATCTGCTTCTTGACATGAACAGAGTTTGATGTAGAGTCCAACACAGCACCTTCATGTTTCCAGGCTACTCAGCTTTCTGTCTTCACCGGACTGTTGAGCACCAATGTGTTGATGGTTTTGCTCGGCCTGGTTTAAAAGGAGGACACAGGATCTGCTAGTACTTTTAGCTGTCACACCAGGAGGTGCATCTTTTCTTTTTTTTTTTTTAGGTAACCAACCCCCATTCTCCTTTAAAATGGGTGCTTAGAAGTTGAAAATTGCCAACATCAAGAGCTTCCTTGAATTAGAATGCCCCGCAATGCAAGTGTGTTATATAATGCCATGACTGGAGGGAGAGGAAAAGTAGAGCACAGGGGTAGAGATTAAAAAAGTTTCTGCATAAAAAGAGAAGGGGGGGAGAGATGAGCATGAAAGGGAAACAGGGGAGGAGGGATTGAGAGAGAGACAGAGGAGATAGAAATGTAGTATAATGAAAAAGAGGAGGGGGATTAGGTCAGACAGGAGTGAGGGTCCACTCCGACGGCAGGAGCAGCCTTGAGGCCCAGCAGGCTGCAGGAGGCTGGTCAATCCTTCCCCTCTCTCAAGGCTTCTCGCTTTTTTCATTTAGATAATGGAGCATTTCCTTAATTGGCAGAGCACAGTTTATGCTGAGGTTTGTTTGCCAACACGTCAGAGTAGAATTATTTCCACTACATTTACAGCATAGTGTTGCTCAGCTCTCTCATTAAAACCACAGCCTCCTCCTGTCCAGAAACAGCGTTCTGTGGAAATCTGCAGAAGGAGGCCAAACACCACAGCAGCAAAAAAAAAAGGAAGAAGAATAAAACACATTTATCTCCTATCTCACCATCCCCAGCCGGCTTGTAAAGGAAGAGGCAGAAACTTCTCTATCTGTTTACTGTTATTGTTTTCTCCAATCATAAACCCTCTCTTCTGGCTGCTATTCTGTGCTTTTTCCTCCTTTCTCTCTTATCGAAAGAGTTATGCGTTGAGCTCGCATGATCTGTATCTTTAAATTTGATTGAGGGTATTTGTGGGGGGTGTTATTTGATTTTGGTGTTATTGTCTCACCTTTTCCCTCTGTGTTTTTAATGTCGGGATGGATATCCGCTCCAGCAGCACTGATCTCACCGTTCTGCTCATTAGTCTGGATTCGCAGAGCCTGGTGCTTCGCAACAATAAGACATGCACTTGTGTAGTCCAGCCATTACTGAGTTTAACAATGTGCACCAGCCAGAAAAGTCCATTATTTCTGCAGCTCATCATCTCAAGCATCCACACGAGACAAAGGGTCTGTGGAACAGCTTCGTTGCAAAGGGCCATCAATCACTTAAGTCAGGAGCAGAGACAAAAATAACATGTGGTGTAGATAACACAAACTGTGGGTTCTGGACGCATGAGGAATTAATTTTATTAGAGATTTATGAATAGGACAATATTTTGGGCCCTTACTGAAATAAGTATTTAAATCTGTATGAAAGGGTGGCATCAAATGCTTGTTCACATTCTTAGCCCTCACTGATTTAATTAAAATTTTCCCCTGTTTTTGACATTTTAATTATCCATGGTTCTTGTGTGGCTACTTAAAATTAAAACTTGTTAAAGTCCAGATTAAAAACAACAGAAAGCAGCACTGCTGGGGGTCGTTTTGTATTCCAAATGGTAATGTGAGACAAAGGCAGGGGTGGTGAGCGGGAAAAGCTCATAAAGCGAAGCGGAGGTTGGTGTTAAAAGTTGTAACGTGGAGCTTTGAGAGGGAGCAGCTGCTACTTTAACAGACCTGTCATTTAAATCAAAAGCTCTAATCAAAATTTTATCAATTAATTGATCTTTCCTCTTGTGCTTTGCCACAAGTGCAATTGAGATTCCCCCCTGACTGTTGCCCCTCCACGCGAGCCATGCTCTACAACATAAACCGTGTTCATTAGCAATGATCAAGGAATTCTCTAATCCGAGCTGAGATGTGATATGACTGCTGTTTCCCCCTGACTTAGTTGGTCTGCAGGACAACTCTCCCCAGTTGCCTTCCAGTACGCACAGGGGAACTCGCACGTCTTTCATGCTGCTTGCGCAACTCAAACAATCAACTTTAATCTCGGCCGCAGTTTTAACACTTGCCTCCTGTTGTGTGTTTCTCGAAGGGTAACCAAGAGGCCACTAACCCACCCGAAGCGATGGCCCAGCCGTACACCCCAGCCCAGTACCCACCTCCCCCACAGAATGGAATCCCCGCAGAATTTGCGGCACCGCACCCACTTCCGACGCAGGACTACACCGGGCAGAGCCGGGTTCCGGAGCACGCCATGACCCTCTACACGCCCACACAGACGCACAGTGAGCCGGCCGGCACTGACAACAGCACGCCCGCCATCACCGCCACCACGACCGCACCGGTCAGTGTCCTTCATCACCTGCAAACACTGTTCTCAGCAGACTGTCAGCAAGTAAAAAAATATTCATATCTTCTTTTATCTTTTTTTTTCATATCATTGTATCAGATGTTTAATGAAAATGCTAAATTGTTGATACTATGAAGTTAATATATTGATATTTTATCATCAATGTTAAATTGCTATATTGTCATTGTCTTTGTCATTGTGACATTTTTATCAGTAACAAACTAGACATGTTTGCTTCTGTTTTCCCTCTTTCCATTGCCTCCCAGCGTGAAAAGCTTTACAGCATAATTTGTGTTTGTTGATGTCTGCCCCCCCCCACATACATGACTTTGAAAATACATGTCATTAGATTATTGCTCTCGACTTTAGAAAATAACTGGAAAGAAACAAGGGCCCTGTATCTTTGTAGAATGTCATATTTATTTTAATCGTCTTCATAAGGAGGTTGTATTAGGGCCATATTGAAAAAAGGTTAGGTCATAATGTTGCAAGGATTAAGTCACAATAGAATAAAGTTATAATTTAATCATCGAGGAGTTTATTTCCTTCTGGACCCAAAATCTTGAACCAATCTCATTGTTTCTTGAGAAACTTTGAAACCTCTGTTAATATCTCACTGATGTAGTTGATGATAACCTCACAGTCAACCACTACCAAACACTTCCTCCTCCACTGAAGAGACCACGTCCTTCAAGTCTGTTGTTATTTGTGAAACCTATACAGACGTTAGATCCTCCACATTCCTCAAAAAGGCGACAGACTGATTTTCTGACATTCCCCCATATCATATAAATTTGACCTTATTCTCTTCTCTAAATCTTTTGTACCCTTTAAGTGGCCCTAACATCATAATGAACTGACATCTTGCAGTGTTTGAAAAATGTTGCAATTGCACCAGCCGTCTTGTGACGTAGTACATCTAAGCCCCGAAGCAACGTTCTAATCACTTTCCAAATCATTTTCCCACAACGGAAAAAATGACCTTTGTTAATAAAAAGCTGCAGTTCTGCACATTAGTGAGCAGCAGCAGAGTCTGATGTCATGGCAAAGATTGCTTGTTGACGATGGACATGAATTTGATTGAAGAGGCGCTGATGAAGTCAGAGTGTGTTTCTAAAGAGTAATTTGAGGGTCCATTAAAAACACGTAAACCTGAGCGCTTCTGTATGTTTGTGTGCAGATTGGACATGCTACTGACATGAATGATTCAGGACCCTATGATCGTTTTGGTCACAGCTGAAGGACAAAAAGAGCGATGCCATTTGCAGCCAGACATCACCATCTCCTTTTCAATCAGATCAGCTAATTAGCTGTTAATACAATCAAATGTTTGAGACTTTTATTTAAACATAAAATATAATCCTCTGCCAGGACCTGATTATACTCCTCCTGCCACTCATTTTCACCATATGTTTAAACCATCGGCACTCCAGCTGGAAAATAAATCACTGGCAATGCTTCATGTTGCGATACACATCTTGGAAGTGAGTGAAATATAAAATTATATATGATATATTTCATCCTTGTGTAATGATACCTTTATATGAAGTGCCTTGACCTGGGATTTACCTTAACAGGAGGCAGATGTAGATAAAAGGGAGAACGACTTGGCTCCAAACTTAAGAGACGCGACCAGAAAGATGGATAATGCCGGCAGAGATGAAAAAAATAAGACCTTCATACCTTCTCTCCTTTAGCATTAAAACACCTGCTGGGTGAGGTCATGGCGAGGCCACAGCCCTCCTGAGAGAGATCTGGGTCACTCATAAAGAACACTGTTAATAACTCCATTTTCACAGCCTCACAATTATCGTACGGCTACGAACATTTGGCGTCAGAAAAGTGCTTACACGGCACAAGCACGGCAACAGAATTGCACCGCGCATTATCATCGTCCTGTAATGTCGCAATGTTTGATTTGAAGATTTGTGTGACGCTTCCCAACTGCTCCATGGTTATGCGCCGCACTTACAGTAATGGCTGACACACAAGCGAGTTTAAAGTGAGGAGAGACTTGGCAGGAGGTTCAGCCTCCACTGCCTCCCCTCCTTCTTCTTCCTCCCCTTCCGACACTGTACACCACTCCTACACTCTCTGTCTCTCACCGCCCCCCCCCCTCTCTCTCCTTCTCTCTCTCCATTTCGCATTTGATTTCATTTCATCTGTTCACCCGCTGTGAAGAAAGCCCAGAGATGGTGGCCATGGAGAGATGAGAGCTCGTCTTGCCTTCCTTCATTCTATTCCTCTCTTGCGCTGTCCCCGCTTTCCTCCATCTTCATTCTCTACATCCACACTCTCCCCCACTTCCACCCGTCTTTTTTTCAGGGAGGACAGAGAGATGAGATTAGTGGGGTGTAAACAGAGAGTCTAATCCCCGGGGGCCGCTGGTGTAGTGTCGCCCACCGCTGTGCTCCCCAGCTTTAATGACAGACCCAGCCCGTTTGCTCTGGGTGCCACAGACGGGCCCGGGTGCCTTTGATTAGGGCACCCTGCAGAAACACAGATTGAGGGAGCAGATCAGCTACTCGCAGTGACTCTCCCCCCCTCGTCCCCACCCCTCCTCCCTTGGCTCGACTCTGCTGCGCTCAGCTCCTCTACCCCACGACGCCGCTTTACTCTGCACATCTTCTCGACTTAAAGACTTAAAAAAGAGTCAAGAGAGAGTGAAAATTCAGTGAAACATATGGATTCTGTGCGAATTCCCCGTGGAGAACGGAGCGTGTGTATGTTTTAATGAGGCGCAGGGACTCTCCTCACTTCTCCTCTCTGTTTCTGTCTATGTCTACCAGTCTCCCGTCTGTGCTGGGAAGGTGGCGTTGTCCAGAGCCAGACCTCTGAGACCTCGCTCTGTGCCATGTTCAAACAAGCTGACTTGAAAGCAAGTGACTTGAGTAAGAGAGGCAGCCCCCAACTTTTCTCCAAATCCTTAGAGATGAGGGTAGCAGAGGGCTGCCAGGAAGCTCTGCTGGAGAAAAAAAAAAAACTGAGCTCGTTATCTGGCTCAGTTCAAATAGTCTGAGGTTTGGTTGAATTTCATGAGTAATCATTCTCTCTTCAGATAACAAATTAAGGCAGTGGCGTTAGGGCAGCACTCAATTCCAGATTTTTCACAGCTTGTGTCAGCGGCATGAAGACTTTCCAAAGGGTATTCTGGGGGACTGTGATAACATAGACACGCACACACACACGCACGCACACGCAAACACACACGGGTATTCTGAAAACATGAGTGAGCACATGCAAACATTCATTACATACACGCACATGCACACTCTCATCTCACATGAACTGTGTTTAAGGGATTGAGACTCCACCGGGGTGTAGCTTTCAGTGGCGGTGCTGACGGCAGCATGTACACCACCATTAAACGCCAGCATCCATTTTACCTGTCGGGGGGGAGGAGCCGCTGATTTTCACACTGTAAATTCAAGATATTATAGATATGCTCAGTTTGCTACAACACAAATCATTTAAAGTATAAGGCAAGTGATGCAGGGTATTTTTCTTAGTCGAGAAAACCCAGAACAACAACTTTCTAATGTTTGTTCAAGCTACAACTGTTCCCAGTGAAGATATAAATACTTAATAACTGCTTATTGAAAAAGGCTGGGTAGTTTTCATAAAGAGAAATTGAAGGGCACTTGAGCAAAGCACATACTTCCACCAGGGCCCTACAGTCCTCTGAAACCACATTTAAATTCACCAGATCCGAGTTTTTATTTGGATCTACACCAAATTGCACAAACTCATAAATCTCAGTTCCCTAAACATGCCTGATTTTTTAATTAAAATGTATTATTCTCTGGGAAATACACAAAAAAGTATTGAAGAAAGTGAAAATCCTGTCCCAAGATCAGGAAAATGTAATAGATTATTTGACTAACAGACAGACGGAAAGTAAAAATCTGTGTTTAATCTGATGGGAAGACATTATGTCTTCATTTGTCTTTCATTTTTTTATGCAGATGAATCCACTGTCGTGAAAAATCGAATCCAATTCCAAATAAACTGTCATGTGTGAACATGTCAATGTCTAGCACAGGGAGCATAATAAAACAGGCCTTAATAAAAGTGACATCATGGTGTTTTGATGATATTTTGTTGAGTATCTCCAGACGTATTATTTAAATAGAGACTAAACGCCCGTCATTTAGATTTACACAGTTGCAGTTGAAACCAAACACTGCACCACAGTTGCTGACTTCTCTCCTTTAGTTTTCATGTATCCACGACTATATCTTAGGCCTTTTTTTTAATCAAAGCAGATAATTTCAAAAATCACTTCCTTGTCTTATGTATTGATGATTCAAGTACCAGGGTTTCATGTCCTTCTGAGCCTTAGAGGTCCCCACAATCAGCTGAGCGACATCTATGCAGAGAATGAACCGGACTTTTATGGTCTCCTGAAGTCCTGAAATGACTCCGATACTTCCACCTTTTCCTACTTGGTATGAATCAGGGCGAGTCGGCGGAGGCGGCCCCTCTGCTCCACCACTCACTCCCCTCACACCCCCTGCTCTCTGGGGTGATGGAGGGGATATATTAGCAGCTTCTTTAGAAAAAGACAACAAACTGTGGAGGACCAGGAGAGGGAAAATAATGAATTAAAGCTCAGGCATTATAATTCTTGTGAGCGAAGACTCAACCATCCCCCTCCCCCACCCCTCTACCCCCCCATTTAATCGGATGTAATCTACCTGCTTGGCAGCATTCCAATCAGATAGTTTCAATTATGCTCTTGTAATGCCACTCTGTGAGGAGGGGGAAAGTGCTGAGCAGAGCACTTTGCAGGCGATTTGCAAATAACAGCAAGGGAGTCTTTTAGAGAAATGACTGAACAGGAAGCCGGAGAGTTGCCGGAGTTGACAGCTCTCTCACTCTCTGGTTTGCTGGCTTTGGCGGTGACGGCGTGTTTTGCATCCCACCTCCTCCTCCTTCCCCGTGACAGCAGCTGTCGGGACAGTAAAGTGCCACTGATGGTGGCCTCCTATGGTAATACGGGGGTAATTATTTTCCACTGCAACACCACCATCTCACACCCAGGCAGGCAGGTTAGATCCTCGGGAGCGGCGTGCAGAGGCAGGCATCCCGGATCCCACTGACACTCACACAGCTATTGAGTTAGTAGGATGAATTCTGGGGTGCTCGGGAGTCAGCAGTTCAGTATTTGTGTTCTACACATGTGTATTTGCCCCCGGGGTCAGCGCGCTGCTGGCCTGTCTGAGCACAGACTGAAAGTTAATCTGGATGTTTGCAAACACGCAACCACGCCTGCCATGATAAAAAGCCAGACAGACAGAGCTGGAGGACAGTGGTGCTCAGTAGTCTGGCAACATACGCTAAAGGTCGATAGTGTCATGTGTGACCGATGAAACAGATTGACCCGCGGGGCTCCGGTACCTTGTCACCATCCACGGTCCCAGCATCTGTCTGCTATGTGTCACCCCCAGGGCCCAACATGGCTACTCAGGCTATTAACCTCCAGCGCGGGAGGACACGGCAGAGTTAAGACCCCTCCGCCCGTCTCTCTCTCTCTCTCTGTCACAAATCCACTTCTCACCAGCCGGGCCGGTCATCTTGGTGCATTTTCCGGCTCTCGCGTCCTTTGCCACTTGTTAACCTCTGGTCTGGACAGAGTCACAGCCCAGGCAGGACTTAGGAAGCCGCCTCCAACCTGTCCTACCTGGATGGCTGCAGGGGGAGACAAAGTGGGACCTTGAATCAAACAACTGTCACTGTTAACAATGTATGTCACCGTCTCGGAATGGGCCATAAAAACCAAATAAATGACAGCCATTACAGTGGGGATTGTGATTATGATAATGAGAATAATAAAGGCGATCATCATTACGATCATGATGATAATGATAATACCGTGATGATGAATTATAATGAATAAATCCCTACCCCATTTCCTAAATGGTGGGAAATGTATCACTAAGAGAGGCCTGCAGCCACGAGACAGGCTCGGAGCGGGGTGAGGGTTATCAGCGTGCGGATGCGTGTGTCATTTGAACCGTTTGTACTCCGGGAACAACCTACTCCCTTTTCACGTCTGTATCTCAGTACAAGATTGTGTCCGTGTATGTGACTCCCCAGCCAGTGTACAGTGTGTTTGCCGTGCTCAGAGAGCACTTCCCGGGAGACCTTGCAGTTTACATATCACATTCAAACAGCTTTTGTGCTCGATATCTGCCACTTCCACTCTCTCGTTTCTCATTCTCCCCTCCTCCACATGTTACCTTATTTAGTCCCAGAGTCAGCGGCCACTAAATCAGGACTCATTTTTGTTCATTTTGATCAATGGCTCGCTGCTGCCGAGTGGAGACCGCCCCCACGGCATCAAACACAAATGTTCAAACGCTCAAAACAACCTTTTGTTGTTGTTGTTTTTCTCTGATGAGTGGCCTCTTGTGGTCATGAGAGCAATTACGGCATTGTAATGTAGTTACAGATTTGCAAAACCTCTTAGGGAAGGAATAAGATTTATATTTCAATATTTTTATTTATAAGAATGAATTATTTTGTGTCTGATTTTGAAACCACTTCTTTGTAGTTCACCTTCACGTCTTCTAACCACGACTAGATCTCTGCAAAGTTCAAATACAGCATACCATCACATACAGAGCTCACCAATCCACTCATCACAGTGATAGACTTTGTTTCTCCTCTACGTGAAAACCACTAATCGCTCGGACACGGAGCACAACAGAACTGATTACCACGTGTGGCTGCAGAGGGCGCTGTTGCTCAGTAAAAGTTACATAGTGTTATTTTAAGTGATCAATCTACTTTTACGAAAAAATATTTAGCTAAATATTTAACATTAAATCAGCAGTTTTCCAGCGTTCAGAACCGCCGGTTTCTCACTCACTGTTTGTGGCCCTTCTGCTTCACCCACACTCTCAGATGGAAACTTCTGTCAGGCGTCAAATCAGAAGAAAAACAGAGGCGGAGGCAGATTTCAGTCACTGCATCTCAACACTTAACATATGTTAACTCAAGTGATATGAGGTCTGATGTCTGTCACTGTTTACCCTGAGGTTGTCTCTCCAGGTCTCCAACAGCACTTGGTGCATTCACTAACAATAGGAAATCCCACAACATTCAATTTGAACTAATTTGTTTCTAGCACTATAGTTTCCAACCTTTATTTTCCAAATGTGCATTCTCAGTTCTCATTCAGTTACTCCTTTCTGCAAAAGTAAGGTTTTACACTGACTCAAGTTTCCATTCAATCATCTAGGTTTCACCTTTTTACTTTCTTTACCTGTGTGGCAGTTTAATTGCAGTTGAGTCTGTGTCCTGGTACAATTTGATTCCCATTCAAACTTGTTTCTGTGTTTACACAACAGATTTCTTTTTTTCTTAATACTGCTTCAGTTGCTTCTTCATACTTCTCCTTCTTCTGAGTTTAGCTGCAGCTTTTGCATTTGAAACTGAAATTTCAGAACTCCCATTTTCTTCGTAGAATTATATTAGTAGACCTCAGGCATAATAGAACCTAACCTGGCAGCTTCACTGTGACAAAAACATCCCTCCTAACAACTCCAGGAGTCCCTGCACCCTGGAGTTTAGCAAAAATAACTCAGGCACAAAACTAAATCCATCACTACAAACAAACTTTTTTTTATTTTCAAAGTATCCATCTCAAATACAGATATATATTTACACATTTTTTTGTTGATTTGTTCACAAAGTCAAAACAAGTTTTTACCGACCAAGAAGGTGCAGGATGAAGCCTTAGCTTATATATCTTCCCTCTTTCAATATAGTTTTTATTTACACCCAGGAACATGTAATATTATGTATATACCCAAAATTCTATAATAAATATTCACGTGTTCATACATGGTTTTAATTTACTTTTTTTTTTTTTTATTGTGGTTTTCATATTTTGGCAACCCTCTCAAAACTATTATATGATTTAACTTTAATTTAATCAAGAAAAATTTTATTGTTCCCATGCTGAGGACATTCACTTGTTCCAGCAGCTGATAGTCAAAACAAAGAAGATAAGAGAACAAGTGAAAGTACAAAATTGAATCAAAGTAGGCAATGAATGCCATAAAATCAAATAAAAGTAAAATATTGAAAAAATATTAATATATAAAATAGTATATATGTTATACATCTTAGTTTTGTCATTTGTTCTAAACTTTTTGTTGTGTGTGTGTTTACTTTGGATAGAGCTAGACTGCAGTTTTTATACTAAGATATGACAATTAAATAAAATAAATGTCCTGACTCTGGATTCATATTTAACGCTCAATTTATATTGATGTTATGAATATAAAGAAATCACATTACTCTTATAAACGTTAAACAGTTTGTTTAACCTGCTCTGAATCAAAGAGTTGACATCAATGGATGCTGATTTTTGAAAGCATAATTTATAGCGACTCAAATATGAGGTCCTGTGTAGATAGACTTGTCCGACACTGCAGCATGAAAGAGCGGATGCACTATGTTGTTGACCAATGAGGTTTTATCCACAGAAAATACATCAGAGAAAGAAACTGCCTCAAAAACAAGGTCCATCTAAACAGACAAACCACCAGCTCCCTCAGTGAAATCCATCACCGGTGTCACACAGAGAAACAAGTGAATTTGTCATTGACATCAGACACGTCATTTATATAGAAATGTCAGCATAGCATTCTCATAATGATGGAAACAACAACGCTGAGGGCTTTGGGCCTCGCACTCTGATGCCTGTGTGCAAACGTCACCAATAATGTGTCTTTAGTCTAGACATGTCAGGGCTCCGTGGGATCTATATCCACGCCTTTTTGTCAGCGCCTTCAATCTTCCCTGTTGCTCAAGAGCTAAGTGCAAGAGATTAATAAGTGGATTTGTAATGCACAACCTCAGGTTTGACACTATAAGTCATCGGCTGTTTATCGCTTTGGCTTTCTCGCCGGATTGAAAAATGGCAGACGCCGAGTAAGTTAGTCAGCCAGGCCTCCCAACCCCACCCCGCACCCTGCCACATCCACTCCCCCCTTCCCCGCCGCCTGCTTCAGGACCGGGAGGTACAGTATACTGTAGCAGCTAATGAGCAGCGTGTGTCTTTTCTGTGTTTGTTTCCCTCCGGCAGACAGATGATGTGACGCAAACAGAGGGCTCTCAGCAGCTCCAGCTCCAGCACTCAGACTCTTCAGAGAAGCAGCAGCCCAAACGGTTACATGTCTCCAACATTCCCTTCCGCTTCCGGGACCCTGACCTAAGGCAAATGTTCGGGGTAAGTGCCTGCAAGGAAAACTCCCATTTATTCAAACTCCCTATTTTGTTGTGGGTTAGGCCTTTATCTAACTGTCACAGTGATGCTGTACTTGTCAAGTTAATCACTTAGATCTGAGAACGAGGTAACATTGCAAACACATGTTGTAGAATATGCAGGTCCCTGTTCACCTGCTATTAACATCCGTCCGGAGTGATCCGATCACAAGTGGTCAGTGCTAAGTCTGTACGCACCCAAATGCTTCCTGAGCTGTGACCACATCAAGAGGTTGTCTGTGGCGCATGTCGTCGCATTCTTTTCGTAGTGATAATTCAAATGCATCCTGGGCGCATATGAAGGACCACCTACTCAGCTGACCGAACATATTTTTTTCACTTCTCGTTGACCTTCCTTTGATTTGTCTGTGCCCACAATATCAATCCAGACCACTAGGGTTGGATGTCTTCTGGAGCTAAATTAATACTTTTAAAATGGTTTGGTGCCAGAACTGATAATTTTCTCCAGAAAAAAAAGCACAAAGTTGGAGTTGAAATTTAATGTATCAACTGTGTAGACAGTTTAAGGTATAATTAACTTAGATATACAAATATTAATAAGTGAAAAACATACAAAATCACACAATACATAAAATAAAACCTGATCTACAATTACATTTACAAAAAAATACAAACAATTCAATGAATTGTCTCCCCATCGCCGGGTCCAGGGACGTCCACACAGCTTCCTGATGTGTTTGGTATGAAGTCACATAAGCAGCCAGCAATAAGGTGCATACCGCCACTAACTCTACAAGCTGTTGCTTACCGATCACATGGCCACAGGAGACACATTTTCATGCCAGCTCTAAACAGATTAACTTCACGCTGTCCACCTGCGATAACGTCTCAGGACGGATGTTGATACCAGGTCTGAATTATCTAAAGACGTTCCAAACAACATTATTAGGAGGTAAAATTTAAATTTACTCCACCTGAAAGGATGGTAGTGAAGGCACCTCACCTTGCCTGACACAAAGAAAAAAATTATTACACTTTGGCTTATTACGCTTCATGAAAAATGAGCAGTGGGGCCAAATCGCACAACAGCAGCCACATAATTAATGACATTTACATCATTAACTACATTGGCAGGAGAAATAAAAAGTGCTTTCTGAGTTTTTACAAGTCTGGAAAAGTAGAGAAAAACAGGCAAATCAGTCACAATCAGGTGCTGATGTGTCAGGGGGGAAAAAAACTCCCTGCTGCACTTGAGATATGGAACCCAGTACAGTGAAGTTTTACCGTTCATCTTTGTCTTTAACCCGTCGAGGCTGCTATTTAGCCGCCTCCCTAAATCTCAGTAATTAACCTGAGCTTGATGAGAACAATGTCATTAGTAACAATAGGAATGGTGGTTTAAATTAGGGAGGAAAAAGCAGCAGTATTATCTTAAATTTCTTCTGTCTTGGTCACTAGAATTAAACATTCATCTGAGTTTCCTGCAGGATTGTTATCCACACAAAAAAGCTTCTTAAGTAGCTTTTAGACCATCGCATAACATTAAATTGTCTGCTGAAATTGGGACGGAGAAAACCGTTTGTCCTGATTACCTGTTCAGAGGTTACACACACAGCAGACACATATTACATATCAGCAAACCAAAGGTCCTCATCGGAAAATGTCTCTTTGTCTCTCTGTCTCTCACCCAATTAATGAGGCAATGAATATTTCAACAGCTCACCCTTGTGTCTCACAGAAGCCTCAATAAGAATTGACCCAAACATCCCAAATTCAATAATGATAATGGATCTGAATGGAGACGATGGCCAAAAATGTACTTTAAATGTTATGCGCTAATTGGACCATTAGAACCCAGAGGCGTTAATTCTCATCGTTATGATGACAACATCCAGCTGATGATATTAATTACCGCCCGGGCTGTGGCTTTATAAATTGCAGACAACATGGCTGCTCTCTCTCTCTTTCTCTCTCTGATTGTTGGCTTTATTGTTCCCAGCTCTGGTGCAGGTCATGTGGAATCCAAATCGCTTCAGTAATTAGCTCGGAGGCTTTGTGTGCCTGGCCCGGCTCATGCAGATATACGATACAAAATTGATCGTGTCCCACCCAGTCCCCCTCAATCACCCTCCTCACCCACGTGTTGCCCATTCCTTCCCTGTTACTCGCCCCCCCCTTCTCCTTTCGGTGGTTGGCATTGCGGAGGATTGTGGGATTGATTGTCTTGGGGTAGTGCTTGGCAAGGAGATAGCTGGTCCGCTCCACCCTCTGACATGGCCTCCACAATGGGCCTTTGTGTGATCAGCGTGTGGAAAGCTTCATCCCTCTAGCTCTAATGGCTTCTGGAGCGCCACTGGCTCAATACGCCATTACTGTTACGCTTGAGTGAAACCCACAGACACGCAGGCGGGAAGACGGAGGAGGAGGAGAGTGGAGGTGCTGCACGGCCCACTAAAGAAGGCTAAACCCCACCAGGAGCTCCATCTGCTCCCACGCAGCACGGAGAAACCCTCCCCGTTGACGCTAGTAAAGGTTTCAACGCCGGTAAAAGGCTGTGGAGCCGGCACCCTAAAACAAGAAGGGAGGGTCTGAGATTCACACGGCACACCACAGGGTTACGGGTGTGGAGAAACCTGCAAGCCTTTAACGAGGCGCTAAATGAAGGGCTCATTAGGACGACCACAGCGGACCTCAATCAGTAATTAGAAACTGTGATCTCTGAGAGCTAGCAAGTGTGGGGAATGAAAACACTCCAATGCGAGAGAGCCCTGCGCAGCGCCCATGCTGCGCTACTTGAGGGTGCCCTCGTTTATGCGACTGGGTTCTTCAGCAGTGCTTCTCACGGTGCATGTAAGGGCTCTCACAGCGTTTCCCAGAGCAATCAGGACCTCTGCCCCCCCTCCCCCACCCTTCTGTCACACTGACTGCTGTGCCTGAACATCCTCCACTGCCACGCTACTGTTTGAATACACACTGCCGCTGTAGCGTAATTATAGGTTTCTGAAGAGCTTAAAGAAATTCAAGCTGATGAAAGGTGGAGGCACAGTTGAGCGTGTTTGTTGCTCCCACACTAGAAGGCTTGAGGCATAGGAAGTTGTGTGTCATGATTTTATTTTTTATTTTCTAGCAAGTCCACACTGTGTCAAAGAATCACATCAATTGTTGACATCTTTGTACACATGTTTTACAGTTTTAGGTTATTTAACATAATTTATTTTTTACTTCCCTCGGCAGCCATTGTTAATTTATGTGTAAAAGCCACACTTGCTTGAGTCATGCAATGTAATTTCCGTTTCCCCGTAATGTGTTTTAAGTGCAGAATGACTGGAGACGTTTCCTTAATAACAGTAAAGGAAACCATATGGAATTAGAAATGAATGGAACCCTATGGATACCTGGGGGAAAAAAAGAAGTAAATATCTCAAATGTAGCAGCGCGATCAGCTGTGAAGTCAAAATTAATTATTTGAGACAAATGAACATGTAAAACCACTGGTTCGGGTTTAACTTGTGGATGCTTCTTTTTGTTTTTTGTCTTCATATTGATATTGAGTTGTTTTTATAGTCTGTGGGTGCATGGATCTGACTGCAGCCCTCGTCTTCCCTCTTGAGACTCCTCCCATTGAAGCTATTGTTTATCGGTGCTGCTGATGCAGCTGTTTGTGTGTGTGTGTGTGTGTGTGTGTGTGTGTGTGTGTGTGTGTGTGTGTGTGAGAGAGTGTGTGGGTATGAGTGGGTGGGTGGAGACAGAAGTGCATGAGATCACTGGTGAGCAACGAGCAGTCCCCAGCGCCATGTGGAAATCCACAAAGACGACTTCCTCTGAAACTAATTAATCGACGCCACAAGCCCATTACGCTCGGTTAAAACAATTAGCATCTGCACATTGCATGGGGGAAGCATTGTCATCTCAGGCGAGAAAGGGGCATCACGCTGGGATATAAATGTGTGAGTGTGCGTGATCGAAGCCGGCGCTTCCCATTCGAATCAGCGGAGCTGAGCATCTTATGAGGCAGATGTGTGGAATATCTTTTAACGAAGAAGAAACGCAATCTGATAAAACTGAGGAGGTTTTAAATAATATAAGTCTTTTTCTTCCATTTTGAACTTGATGTGGTGAGGTCACTACATTACCCTTTCGAGTAGGGGGAGGCATATGTTTTTGCTAACGCATAAACCCTCAGCTCCTCAAGCCCACTCACTCCAGCCAGATAATAGCCAGCTCCTCCTAACCCCTATTAGAGACTCAGTCAAACGATCCATCCATTCCCATTGAGCGTCGACCACATGGAAGGCCCATTTCTTCCCTGTTGTGCAGAAATGAAGGCGACGCGGACCGCTTGACAGGGTAATTACTTTTAATGAAATAATACGGCCATTGTAGACAGCAATTAAAAGTCGCTCTCACTCCACTCATTAGAGGAACTTACAGTTTACTTTCATTCCTCTGTTTTTTAATGATCCAAAGGCAGGCCTGTTAAATCGAAAGGCTGGAGCATGTTAACCCCTGGGGACTGGCCCTTAGGTCCTGTTGACTGGGAGAGCACACAAACAAAGAGAGGAAGAGAGAGGGAAGAATAGAAGATACACAGGGAGGCTTATAAAAGGAGGTGCAGTCAGAACTGATCCAACAAACTCTTCACAAGTCCTCGGACCAGGTGATCGCGGAGGTGGATCCATATCTCAAGACATCGAAATATAACCTGATGCTTCTTTGTATCTCTGTGTTAAAACAAGGAAATAAACATCACAATTATTGATGTGCAATCAAAGACTGTGATCTCACGTAGAGTTTTGATTGAAGTACAAAAATGCGCCAGAGCAGCAACTATGAGCTCTCTTTTTAAAGCACGCCAGTGAGCTTAAAGAACTGTTTGCCGAGCTAACAAATGCAAATTGACCACCATTTCCTCACAAAAGTAACATTTCCATATTGTCTTAATGGTTTTTCTCTCTCCAGTCGTCCTTCTCATGAATTCACAGCCAATGAGGCTTTCTAACTCAGTCTCTGCCCCGCTCTTCTCTTTTTCTTTTCTCTCTGCAGCAATTTGGAAAGATTTTAGATGTGGAGATTATCTTTAATGAGCGAGGATCCAAGGTAAGTGAACTAGAACGCCAGCTGCTTCATTACCATGTACTTCTTCTGTTTCCTAATGATGGCATTAGTGTAGTGTGTACATTGGCTGAGAGTAGTGGTCTCTAAGCCTGGTCCGGGAGACATACATCCACCACACCTCTCTCTCTCTCCCCCTCTCGCTCTCCCCACTGTTTTTGTTGTTGCAGCTCTAACCCAAGTTGTGAATCATTAGCCCTGTCAATCAATTCATTATTGAGCTGTTTCACAATTCACTTAATCCACAAGCAGGCTGCAGGTCCTCAAGCTTATGGAGCTGAAACCACTTGTTAAGGGTTCTCTTTGAAGGCCGGGCGTTGATTCCACAGATTCCACATTATAAAGGTTTTATCATTTTGTTTTAAACAGACGATAATTCAGGATCTTAATGGTGTCCTCTGGGATGAATTTGCAAATAAATGTTGTTTGGCTAAAAGAACTTTGGAGGCTAATACTAATGCTAACTTATATTTAAAGTGTTTGGATGTTGTATGCAATGAACGCCCAGATCCAGGCAAATTAAAGTGATTTTGAAGCCACATTATGCAATAGTTTCACATGAAAATAGCAGCAGCTGAAACTCTGTATAACCTTGGTGAGCAAACACGATCTCCAGAAAAAGGTGCCAAAATAGTCAGTGACTTAAACTGCGAGAATTCAGCTCCACAAGTTCAAAAGATCAGATAAGACAGCTTGGAAAGTGAGGAAACTTTTTAAATATCAAGAATTTTGAACAGAATTTGGTGTATTTGTGAAAGCGACAGGAATATACACCATGCAGCCATGTTTCACTTCAGTGAGAGGGACTGAGCAATCAGAGCTGTGGCCAGGAGATTGATAAGCTTTGTTTGCTGTACATGAAAACCACCGAAGCTCAGAGCCCAACAGAATTAATTATGACTATTGGCTCCAGAAGGCGCTGTTGTTCAGCAAAAGTTGCACAGTGTTGCTTTAAATGAGATATTTGAAGGGTTGAGGTTGGCATTTTTCAGCAATTTTCTTTATTGCTAAAAAATCCCATGAATCAATCAAAACCACGAAAGTGTTTCTCTATCAGCACTTTCTGGCCTCCCTACTTTGTCAAACCCAATGTTTCCTACTGACGGGGTAAATCTTTGAAATCGTATCACAGACATACAGATTTCAGGTTTAAAACATATTTTAGTGCTCCAGTAAATATTTCAGGAATACCAGAGAAATACTGTAGCAGTAGGATTTTGTGGGCCAAAATAAAATACAATGTGTGTAATGGTAATGGATCACACAGGCTTACCGGTGTCTTTTTAAATTTGTATTCTATCCTATATTTATTCTTTATTCTACTCAACATGGCTATATATATAAATATATAACACATTAATCCAGAAACACAACTGTACTGGGTGTAATTCAAATTTTACCTCTTAAAGTTTAATTTCAGCTGTGTCCTTTGGCGCATCTTTGTCCACGCATACATGTATTTTGATGCGAATTTGAATTCCTAAACTAAGATTAGCAAAAAGTCAACCAGAAAACTAGCCACAGCCGTGCCACGCCACTGCAGTATCATTCTCCTAACCACCTACCATGGACAGGTGAAGCCTGCGGAGGTGTGAACAGCCGAGTGCTCCTCATCCAGCTGTTCATTTAATGGAGTGCACTAAGCTCCACAGCTTTCCATTCATAAAGCAGACAGGCTCCCTGGCTGGGTGTTGAGGCATGAATACTATTGATTCCCATTCATACCTGGGAGTAGTTTGGGCTCGTATGCAGGCATGCAGGGAGCCCTGGAACCAGGCGACACTGCTGCACTCAGCCCCCTCTGCCAGACAAGATTGAGCACCGGATAAACCTGCCTCCTCCGCCGTAACAAGCATTTATTGTTTGTGCCCTACAAAGCCATTACCCATGATGCCTTTCTCTCTCTCTCTCTTTCTCTCTCTCCCGCTCTCTCCCTCCCTCTCCCGCACCCTGTGTGCTTTATAATGAACCTACCAGGCCATTAATAAACAATCTATTTCCTATGAAGCTTTGGCAATTTGCATTCAATATGTTTGTCTCCTTTGAAAAATGGTGGCTCCACTCTCCCCTCTTGTAAGCTAATTATTGTGCATGATAAAAAAAAAGATAGAGGGGGTAACCACAGTTGGGTGAATGTCCAAAGGATTAATTTTGCCCTCAGTTCCTTTTTTGAATTTATTCCTTTATCTCTCTTTCCCCAAGGACAGGTCCCGTGTTATTTATGCTAGGAATAGCAGCCCGGAGATCCTGCGTATGCATACGAGATCACACCGCTCGCCATCTCTCACATGTATTACATCCTCAAGCAATTATCAGGCAGCGCCGGCCATGCTCCCTCTACCCCTGCCCATACCTCTATAAGTATATATAGAAACCAAAGGAATGGGACTTGTTTGGCCAGCATATCTTAATGCTCCCGCTATAGAGCTCAGGTCCAGTATCCCAGTCCACATAACTCAAGGAAGTGACAAACCCCCCAGGGGAGCCAGGGAGACAGAGAACTGGGGGGGAAGGGGATGGAAATGAGAGGTTGGGTATATTTTGGTCGGGGTTTTAAAGTCAACATCAGTGTGATTTTGCCTCTGTAAAAAATGTCCCACTTATTAGTGCAGTGAATTAGAAACAGTCAGAGATCAAGTTAACATCTCTCTTTGGAGAATTCATCCTCACTCCTTCCCCCGTTGCCCACGCCTTCAAAGAAAGAAGAGGGCCGTGCTGCTGAAGTTGTGTAGATAATTATACGACTATTATGGCAGCTAACACAGTATTTTGCATCCACTGCTTTCTGACATTCACCCATGGCACCAGTGCTGTGCTGTTTAATTGGGTAAAGCAGGCAGGTTTGTTGGTGTTGTTGTGTGAGGTCACGTCACCGCCATCCTCTCCTCCTCGGATCTCTCTCTTTGCTGTTTCCTGACGCCTCACTAACTGCCTCTAATTAATCTGGCTGCTTACAACTCGACTCTGCTGCTCACCTACTCCTGTCTTCTCACCTCTTTCCCTTTTCTCCTCCCTGCCCCTTTCTTTTCCTCTTTGTGTGAATGTGAATATGCGTGGTGTGTGTGCGTGTGTGTGTGTGTGCGTGTGTGTGTGTGTGTGTGCGTGTGTCCAACCTTTCTCTCTACCGGTTGCTAACGTGGCGCTCTCAGGGCTTTGGGTTTGTAACTTTCGAAACAAGCACAGATGCTGATCGTGCACGGGAGAAACTAAACGGTACAATCGTAGAGGGACGCAAAATTGAGGTGCTTTCATTTTTCCCTTTTTCCTCATCTTTTTCTACTTCCTGCCTGCTGCCTCCTAAACTTACCTACAAACCCATGCATTTGCATGTGGCTGAGGTGTGTGTGAGTGGATATCTGCATCCTAGAATGTATGTGTGCCTGGATGCATGCATGCATAATGGTGCATATAACTTGTTCTCACTAGAATGCACGTTTCATGTATGTCAACCTGGACACGTCGGTTGTCCATCATTACCTGACAATGCAGAATGAATGCATGCTATCATCCTCTGGGTTCCTGACAAACCTGAGAAGACCTGCATTCTCCCATCACCATCGTTTAGCAGTGCCTGCTGTGATTCTGCTCTTGTTTACGATGAGCCGAGCCCCCGCTCAGTCATTCTCATCAGGTCAATAGAAGAAAATCAAAGCACTGCCTGTGTTTTTCTTTTGGAATCCATTTGTTTATTCAACCAATTACTGATTTTGGAGGATGTTGGGTTTTTTTATTCATACCTGTGGGTAATTGGTGCATGCTTCCCCCTCTCTTTCCAGTAATTTATTAATGTGTAAGAAAATTGAAATGATGAATAAATTCATGAAAGGGTGAACCAAACACAATCACACCATAGTGCTACAAACATATTTACATAACCATTTATTTATTTATTAATCTATTACTTTATGACTTTGTCTTTGTTACATCTTCGGTTGCTTTTTGCTTTTGGCCCACCCTTGAGTGTGTGGATAGTAAATGTGAGGGTCTGTAATCACAGGCCTTTTGTTTTGTTGATTTTAACAGGTTAACAATGCAACAGCACGAGTGATGACAAACAAAAAAGTGGCCAACCCTTACACGAACGGTAAGTGCCGAACCTTATAACAAAACCTAAAAACAAAAACCCGTATTTTCATTTTGCTCTGGTCGTGAGTTGAGTTTTTCTTCCTTCATCAGGCTGGAAGCTGAATCCAGTGGTCGGAGCTGTCTATGGTCCTGAACTGTATGCTGGTAAGAGACCTGCAGCTCCTGCTGTTTGAATTTTGAATGCTTTCCTCTCAACCTTCCACCCCATGCACCGCAAGTGTACTTGAGGCCACTATCGGCCACAGCCAATCCCAATCTGACCCCTGAATTTTCACAATCGGGTTCATGCTGAACCTACTGAACATGAAATTCCCCTCAAATCAAAGTGAATCTGCGAGCGGCCTAGATAAGCAGTGGATGATCCAAGCTTCTCTGAGTGGCTGAAGGAGCCTGAGCCATTGTTTGCACGGTGTGCAACTGTAAAGCTGAAAAAAATGATTTCAAGAGCAAGCGCCCCTGCAACTGTTATCAGATTGTGGAGGCTGCTGCTGTGGATGGATTTGCCAAGTGCGCCAGATTGACTTTTACAGAGCTAACCGAATAAGGGAGATTGAGTGAGCGATATTGTTGGCACCTACCCTGTCGAAGGCCGCTATTCCTTCTGGTCTCAGTAATGGAGGAATGAGATGAGCTCAGTGGGGTTTTCCCTATCTCTCTGTGCCTCGACATGCCAGCTTTATTGCTGTATGTTATATGAACCCTTTGCATTTTAATGAGGGGGAAATGGTACTATTTCATTTGGAAGAAGTGCTGAGCACATCGCGCCACTTTAACGGCTTTCCTTTCTGCTCATTAGACTAAAATCTGTTCATTCCCCGGACAGCTTTACGGCGAACCTCTAAATAACTGTCCATGACAGAAAGCAGCCATCTATCATTTTTATTTCATCCCCAACCCCTCACCCCCTCCATGCCTCCTCCCCTGCCTCCCACCTACCCTCCTACTCCTCCCCCCAGCATTCCCTTGGTTTTGACATCTTCCCCTGATAATTACTCACACAAACAAACATGCTCTCTCTCTGTCTCTCTCCCTCTCTCTCTCTTTCTCTCAGTAGTTGCATGCATACACGCAAACATATAAATTATGGGTCAGGTAGAATTTCCTCTGAATTAAAAATGTAGACATTAAGTAAGTCTAACTTATATTAACAATCATTTCACTGACCTATATACACACACAACACTATCCCCTGCCCTGCTTTTACACTCGGACCAAGTGCATTCCAGCATACAGAAATAGATAACCTATGTAGAACACAGACACTAATGCATGTCGCCTCTTTCGTGCACACTTTCTCCATAATACACTCTCTCAAACACAGACACACACACACACACACACACACACACATAGACTCACACACACTCACACACTTCCCAAATCATCTCATAAATCAGAGGGAGTGTGGTCCACCACTCCAGGCAGAGGAAGCAGGAGGGGCTGGGTGATTTATTGGCTGCTAATTTTTCAAGTCGTCTTGACATGGCGCTGGAGTTTGCCAAGCCTAAACGACAACATATGCTTGCCAGCTGGGAAGATGGGAAACATAAATAAGAGATACATTTTTGAAACAAAACCACACTAATGAGCAGAAAAAGGCAAATTTAGCTGTAAAAAAAGAAAGAAAAAACCCCAACACTGATCATGCATTTGACTATGATGTTCCCCCATCTCCAAGAAAAACAACGAAAAAAAAAATACAATCAGGTTCCAGGAAAATCATCATAGCTACAGTTAATATACTTTTGGTGGGAGTAAAATGGGATATAAAGGCGATTAATCACTGTTTATCAGTCCTCATTTCTGTGCGGGAGATCAGTAAAATTGGGAGCCATAAATCCTGACTCGTTGACAGCGCACTTCGTCTCCATTCGTCCTGGCGCTACAGGTTTATTGTCCTCAAAACCCATTCAGGAGAATGACGGATGAGAGCCTCACGCCAGCTCCCCGCTCTTAACCTCTTCCAGGGTAGATTGGCCCCTCCTACTGATAGAGGAGTGGAGAGGGGGGGTGTAGTTGGTCGGGCACAGGCAGGCAGCTCCGATCCCAGGTCCATGTCCTCTGTTTCCACTCTAACACCCAAAGCTCCCCCAGGGGCCTGCTGTAGGGGGAAAGGGGGTTGTCTTGTACCAAGTAAGAGGAGCAAGGTGATTGGGTTTGCAGTCAAATAAAGGGATTGACAATAAAACATGGCAGTGGCACAAATCATGGTGTATGGTAGCTGGTAGACATTCAGTGTTTGTGCTCACATTTTTGCCTTTTTCTGCCTCAACCACATACATGTAGATACATGTCCATACAGAATATGATACAATGCACATCTAGCTGTCTTTGTCTCTGTCCATTTTACTGACTTAAATATACATTTGGTTTTAATTAATGTATCATAATTTAATGTGACAAACTTGTTTATGAATTTAAAGCATTTATATTTATATACAGATATATGGATTCAAGAAATCCTGTACACAGATTTGTACATGTGCATTCACTTTCTTATGTAAGGAAAGCGCTGCAACAATGCAGACATTGACTATTGCATCAAAACACAAAGAAACTGATCAGATAGTCTATGTGCAATACACATAACTCTGTTTACCTCATCTAAAAATAATTGGCAAAGATTTCTAAATGACTCCTTGTGTTGGGTATTTTAAGCACCATGGACAGCTGCCACTGAGAAATCCCTTCATATGGCCAGTTGCCCCGAGGCAAACAGAGAGAGCCTCTCCTCTGCAGCCTAATACCTGCAGAGAGAGGAGATGAGTAGCTTTTCATTCACCACTTCATGTTTTCTGCAACTAAGGTGGACTTTTCTTGAGGACTCATGGAAAGCTTACCAGCTGTGTAAATGACAGAAAAGAAAGGCTAATTGCCATCTTAATATATGTAGACAGATCCTCTCATTGTTGGAGTGTACGTTAGGGGGATAATTAAGCTCCAGACTCTTGATTAGATTAAGCTGTTTTTGGTCCCCAGTGCGTGGATTAAGTGCTCATTGCCCGATGTATTTGAGCAGGAAGTATTAGAGAGATCAACCTTGTGGAAAATCAGATCTTTCTTTATGGGAGCCGGTTATGACCCCATCATTGGCACAGAGCTGGATTACCTCAGGTCCAACTGGCTCTGCAGGTATTGAGCTTCTCTCGGGTTGACACATATGACATATGAGGTGCAGCGTGACCCCGCCGCCCTCCAGCACATAACTCATATTTTCTCCAGCCCCCCTCCCGGAAAAGGTGTTTGACTTTGGTGGCTAGACCAGGTTTGTGCTCTCATACACCGTGGCTGTTGTTGCTTTTCACGGGCTTACTAAGGTGTGACAGTGCCTTTGATTTATGGGTTATTATTGAAGCAGTGTAGCCTATCGCCAACTCATTACGAGTTTACATTCACATACATCAGTGCATGCATATTGCATACAAATTTCCAAAAAAGAAAGAAAATGGCAATTGGACTTTGTGGGGGCCAGTAAATAGCAGTGATTTTTTTAAGTAGAGGGTAAAAAACACACACACACACACCTCAGAAACTATCAAAGAGGATAGTTTTTGCCCTTTAGCGACTACGCTCAGATGTCCAGTGCTCCAAAAAAAAGAGACTAATTTAAATGTCAAGGTCAGCATTATAAATCACTTGGGGGCACCCTGCGAGTCCAGGCAGTCTATTGGTGCGTTGGCAGCAAACAAAGTGCCCTGTACCTTGGTGGGTGTGTGGAAGGGAGGAGGGGAGAATGTGGGTGTTACCTGGCCAAATGAGACGCAGAGTTTGAATATGTGTGCGGACCCACTAATGGAGCGTGATGTTAATGGCAGAAGACATTAAACCTGGCTCTCTGTGTTTTTAAAAGCACTACTAATCTGTCTCCCTGTCAGCTTTATTGAAGCAGCGGGGCTGGTGTGTGCATCGTTCATTAGGATGCTCACTGGTTTCGTCCACCTGCAGGGTTAACGCCGCACACGGCCCAGTGACGCCAGACCGTCACTCCCCAGGCAGAAACCCATACACCGCCAAATGTATACGAGCCATCATGGATCTTCATTGCGGTCTCGTTTATCTGCGATTGCGAGGGGCTGCCTGCTGTCTCCTATGTGGCAGCGGGTTCATCTGAAACACGGTGGATACATGTTATTAACCTGCGTTACTCACCCCAACCGAGTCCCACCCCCCACTCCAACAGGACCAGACAGGAGCTTCGCAGCTCTGAGTGATCTCTGATTGGAGAAACTGAAGTGGTCTTTGATGAATTCACCCAAAACATCTCATGGAAATGAATAAAGAGGAATAAGGTGAGGGGAGGGTGATGAGGAGGCGTTGCAGGGGATGAAGAATAATGGAGATGACTGTACTGTGATGGACTAGGTGTTGGGGGAGGGAGAGAGGGTGAAGAAGAGAGGGAAGAGGGCTGTGAGGGAATTTCGTTTGCAGGAAAAGGGGAGGCCAACTTAATCATTTCTGGAGATCGGTGTGTTTGTATGCACCTCCACTGCTTGTAATCAGACAGTCAGTGGACTGATTGAAGGTTAAGTAGAGAGCTGAGGATCACATCGCCTGTCCTCTAATCTGTGACCGTGAACATTTTGCCGCACCATCACACCAACCCTTACCAGTCACCCTGAAGCCTTTCACCCCAACCTCCCCTTTGTGATTTGCTGGTAGTCGTGAGCAGAGGACATATGGAGCCGTGCGATTGGCTAAAGATGTTCCCAGATGGATTTGGAGATGGGGGTCATACTGAGGTTTGGGCCTTGGCTATCCAGCCCATCTGCTCCATTTCCCCTTGGGGAAGTTCTGAACATCTAGTCAGGTTGTTCAACAACCACCTTTCATTCGTCTCCACCCAACACCTAGAAACGCCCTCTGCTTCCCCCCCGTCCACCCTCCCACTGTTCTCCTTGCTGCTAGCCCATTGTGTCTAAACTGTGCAAAAGCCGTGGTGCGAAACTAGTGGTATTGCATCTATTACCTGCCTATGCTTCAAGGCTGCCCCTCGCCAGGCATCGGGAAAGGATGCGTACAGCAAATGTGGATCCTTGCTGAGTACGGCACAAAGCAGCGAGCTGAGAAAGGGGAGAGTGCTCGATGAGGCGCACCTAGAAAAGATTAAATCTATTGTTTCCTTGTCTTCCCCATAATGCATTCTGTCATAGGGAAAGCAGTGCCACACGTCTCTCTCTAATGTATTCTGTCATAAGGTAAGCAATGCCAAGTCGAGGATGTTCTCTGAAAGTCATTTTCTCTTCTCTTGTGTGTTTCCTTACACAGTAACAGGGTTTCCCTACCCTGCCACAGGCGCTACGGTGGCCTATAGGGGTGCCCACTTGCGAGGTCGGGGGCGGGCTGTGTACAACACATTCCGCACAGCTCCTCCGCCACCACCCATCCCAGCTTACGGAGCGTGAGTATCTAATCTTTAACCTGAATCTAGTAGCGGGTGGAGTATCAGTGACTGTACACAAGACCTTCCTGCTACACTCTTGTCTTTTACGTCCATGTTGGCGTTTTACTATATTTACATTTATAGTTTTCTTTTTTTGTGTTGATATGAAAAGGGATATATTTCTGTTATTTCTCAACACCAAGCAGTTTTGATTCACCAGGGGTTGTGATTCAGTGTTTTGTCCTAGTTTTGCTGAAAACAAGTTATTATATGGGTCAAAAAATGTAACTGTCTAAAACAGATACATTTGTGAATATGTCTGGTCATCTACTTTTAATTCATCCTAAAAGGCTCTTTAGGGAGTAAAATCATTGTTGGTATCTAGGTGTGTTTACACTCTGACCTTCTTTACGTTTATACGTTGTGTATTGACAAAGGAGGAACTAACAAAGCCACAGGGAGAGCTGCAGTGAGCTGAGATAGCGTATTACTGGGCAGATCTCACTGGACTGTTACCAGGGCCTATGCTGATCTCCTGGCTTTGCGCAGCCCTGCCTCACACTCGTCTCTTATCAGCAGTGGTCTGTGTGGCCATGGGAGAGGTCTGACGGAGGCCGGCCGAGGGCCCAGTATAGCTGTCTATCTGTGATTAGATCAGGATCCATCTTGCTGCAGAGAGACTCACCGTCGAAGCTGGGACTTGAAATCCCACGTCCCCCTTTCCCCTCCCTCCTAGTCCGGGGCCCTCCGCTACTGATGGCAGCTGGTTGATTTATATGGCGGAGTCATGTGACGGAGGTCTTTTGTCCTCACCTCCTCTCCCCACCACCCGCCTGACAACACTGCAGCAACTGGAAAGACAAACAATTTTACCGGAGCAGAAAATTGGACGGGGATGTGAAACGGTTGCACTTTTCGCTTTAATGTATCATTCATTATTTGTGGCACACTACACTAAAGCCGCTAAGAGCTGACCCCACAGTCCCACAAATGGTTGAAATAGGAAGAGTGTCAGGGGCTGAGATTCAGGAGCGCAGCATAACTAACACTCCTTTCCTGTTCTTTAATTTCACAGGGTGGTGTACCAAGATGGCTTCTATGGTGCGGAGATCTATGTAAGTACAGTTGGCTCTTTTCTTCTTGCCTGCTTAGATGAAACAGAAGTAAAGCAGACAAAAAGCCCAGCCCCGGAGACAAAAACGTGATCTCCTCAGCCCTCAGCATTCTCCCAGCCTCGCTGCCAAGTCGGTGTCGATTAGGTCTCTGTCTGCTGTGCCAAGAAACCCGACAACAAAATTTAAAACCCCCTGAGCTCCTCCCTCATCTCCCTCTTCTCTCTTCCTATGATCTCAGACTTTGGCATAGAGGCAGACCCGCGCTCAGTGTCCCGTGTCAAGTTAGGTCATTTCTTGCTTTAGATTTGTCTGGGTTTTTAAGGTGGCCCATCTTCTGCAGCCCTTCCCAATTCTCGCTGCATCTTTCCCTCCTCGCTCCCGCTTGTGTACACTCAGAGGGGTTGGCTGGGATATCCCTGCCCCAGGGGGTCTGCACAGGCCTGAGTGGAGCCGATTCCTCCCAGCCATCACCATGTGGGAGATAAGGGGAGCAGCGGAAGATAAAGGGATTAGCCGTCCCTCTGTAGCTGTCCATGCAGGCAGGGTCACATCAGGGGCTGGCCCTGCTCCACGTCGCCCTTGACAGAGAAAAGCATGGATGCTTGGGAGATAATGCTGAAATTACCACGCTGCCCCACTTTGACATCAGTCCAAACGTTTGCAGGGGGGGGTTGTAATTTGTCCCTTTGATTCGACTGCAAGCGAAATGACAGTGGGGGCACAGCAGCAGTGACAGTTGCCTCTCACTCTCACCCTGACTACAACCAGCGTCTGGGAACAAAATGCTGGAACCCAGTGATATATGACTTACACACCAGCACACATGATAGCGCTGTATTTCACCGGCTTTTATTGTAGGGACAACCACCACCATGGACGAGACCCCGGCTGTGCCTTGAGTGATCTCTCACACTAGCTCTGCCACCTCTAGCTAAGTCCTGCACCCCTGCATCCCTTGACCATTGCCTAGCCAGGTCGGTCCATCACTCAACCCGTCAGGCCAGCCCCTGGTGTTTTACTGCCATTAGTTTTGGCGCTGGCCGCTGCACTGCTTCAGACTGACTGAGTGTGCGTGAAGGTCTCCGGTGACCAAAAGGAAGCTGTCCCTTAGCCCTCAGTGTCCTTCACCATCATTCACTGGACACTGGCTTTTTTTTTATCAGCCAGCTGATGTGTCAACGTCTCCCTTTGGAAATAAATGACCTGCTAATACATTAGCAGAGAGGGAAATTTAATGCCTACGTATATAAATATACACTACATACATCGCATGTGCTCATACATATGCATGCTTGCACCTCTATGTGGAAACACACATAGATGAATGCAGAAACACACACATTCGGCACGACAAAATAACAAATGTGCTGCACTGTTGTGTGCAGGATTTGACAAAGAGGGAGAGTGATTTATTGGGCGTGTTTGTTCAGGCTGTTGCTGTAATCAGCGCAGTCCCAAGGCATGGCCGTCCCACAGAAAGTCATCTGCCTCAACTACACTGACTTCCTGTCCCAGCGGAGAATCTTTGGGGGGTTGGAGGATCGGGGGAGCGGGATTCAAACGCTGCCCCTGACCTGATTTCATGCGCCAGCCGTGGCTGCGATCATCACACCGGTGCCTCTCTGCGCCACTCTCCATCGAACGTCTTCCCCCGTGAGTTTAAAAATGAATGAAAACATGCATTATTAAAAGCCACCTATCCACCGTATGGACGCAGATGGGCACACACTCTACTGGCACTAATAGAAAAACAGTGGGAGAACAGCTTCATTTTTCAAAGAGAGTAATAGCAGCACTCCACAATGAGGTCTTTAATTCCTTCCCCACTCTGGCAAATGAATACAGCGGTCCTGACTCCCCAACGGTCCGGTCGTCTTCTACCTTCCTACTTCATTTGTGAGCCAGGGGGGTCGTGTAAAGGAAAAAGGGGCTCCTCAATAATGCAGGAGCAGAGACTCGTCAATCTAAAAATGGGCTGAATTTGGGGATCTGGCTCACGTGGCCTCTGTTATGCTGTTGCTGCTCCCTGGATGAGCCTCCAGTGTGACAGCGACTCGCTTCCCCAAGATCCGCTGCTTCTCCAGAGCATCATTCATCCCCCTGTTGCCACCACCTGCCCAACACACCATATATCAAACAGCACCCTCTGGTGTTTGATAGGGAACTTGCAGCTGGGGAATGTGAGCTGATGACCAAAACACTGCGCAGTGACATTTGACTATGAAGGCAACTCGAGCCTCTGTGTTTGTATTGTATTTTCATGTGTCTATGAGCACTAACCTTTCAATGTGCAGGTTCTGTTTAATCATTTATTAACACTGGCATTTTTACAGGGTGGCTATGCAGCATACAGATTTGCCCAGCCCACCACCACCGCTGCTTACAGTGACAGGTGAGACTCCCTCTCATCCACCTCTTCATCCTTTTAATTCATCAATATATTGTTATGTTGCCCAAAGATGACTGAGTCTGTTAATGAACTCTGAATTTCCGTAATCGAAACATTTTAAATCATCACAAGCAAGAAACCTGTTATTATAGATTATATTTTTTGAAAGCAGACATCAGAAACATTATTTAATGCTGATAAACTAATTGACTTTGGAGTGAAATGGTGATATGGTATCTTTGAACTTTCCTTTTAAAGGCAACAAGTTGATCGAGGAGGAAATTACAGTAAAAAGTAGAAATAGATGAAGTTTGAAGGAAAATGTGTTTGTCACAAAACACATTACAGATTAATGACTTAAATCGTAGAAGCAAAGGTTGAGTTTTAGTTTAATTAATAACTGTTTTCACACTAGAAGTACGACGTGTACAGGCCAAACACAGAAGGAGAATGTATGTGATGAATGAGGGACCGCTCCACCAGTTTTTTATAATATTCAATATTGATTATTTTTGGTTTCCTGGGGTTTTTCTTATCTATTAGGGAAACTGCCACATTCTTTTTAGCTCGGAGCTACAGAAGACAAAAAAAAAAAGACTAACCTTGTTGGACTCGATGAGAAAAGCAGTGATATACGTCGTGACTCTCCACTTGTGATGGGAGAGCGGGTATATCACTGCAGTATTTATGAATGGCCTCAGGTCTGTGGAAGGGAGGTAGGCAGATGGAGAGAGGGAGAGATGGACCGGCAGGAACTCTATCACTTCTGAGTGATGTCACTCTGGTTCAGGTGTGCTCCGTTTGAGGAGGCGTCGCTGATTCATTTCGGCCCCCGAAAGCCGTTGTCAGCCCGGGATGTGGGCTGGTTTGGGAATCTAATCTGGGAAGGATTGAGCATGTCACTTGTGATAACGTACACCCTGCCTGAGAGCCTGAAGATCATATCGATAATGTAAGATTTATCAGGCCTCGCCGCAGCTCGAATTATGAGCAGCCGTGCTCAGCAAGAGCAGAAATTGGACAGCAGCTTTTTTTTCTTTTCTTTTTTTTCTCCGAGTGATTTAATTCGTGCTTCTCTTGCCTGTACTTTTCCCTGAGATTTAATGTAATTCGCCGCCAAGTTGTTTGTTTTGCTTTGTCTGTTTGTTTCCTTTTGAATAAGCGGTCATGCCCATTGGATCAATAGAGGTTTGTCTGTATTGTCTCGGCAATACCTTATCAGATTTAACCGTGGAGCCGTCAGCCAATCATAAAAAGAGGTCACCGGGATTGTGGAAGGCGTGTGAAACCTCTGTAAAATATGAAACATTTATTATCTGAAAAGCCCACAGTGCTCACAGGCTGCATTACCAAAGCCCTTTAAGTAACTAAACTGAGTTCATACCATTGAGTGTGTTGTATCAAAGAGACCTTGTGAAGAGCCAGTCACATTGTGGGGGCCCTGCCGGCTTCCAATCAGCTCTGTTGAGGCTGTGTGACATTGCACAGGGTGGTTTGACCTGCTGCTCGTCAGCAGTGCCACTCTGGTGAGAGTCATTTTGTAGATACATTAGCCTTACAGGGCCTGTGGGGTTCGGTGCTCACTGAAGATAAGAGGACCACGGAGACTTCCCCTGACCATCTCATGGCACCGGCCTCCTCCCCAAGGAGCCGAGACAGCTCTTCTGATTTCACGTCCTGCTCGCTGACCTTGGGTGCTGCCGGACTTAAATGTGCCGAGCCATATTTAGATCTTATATAGCTCAATGTAGTTCATGCGAAAGGCATGAACGCTGTACGTCTTGTTGTCTCCTTTAGGAGAATTCCTTCCTCTCTCCACTTTTTTATTCCTGGTTGATTTGGTGCCCTCAGTCCTTGGCTGGGTGTGCCTTATCTGCTCCGTGCAGACCCTCATTTGCAAGCGAGCATTGAGGGGAGAGGGGGAAAAAAAGGAAAGTAAATAGAGGAATATGTGAAGTCAAATAAATAAATAAATAAGGCAGACACATCTTGTCCTGTCTCAGAAGGAAATTGGAAGGATTAGTTCCAAACCAGTAACAATGAAAAGACAGGGGTGTGAGCCCAGTGTGCAGCCTGGGTAAACAAGAACAGGGTGAGAGACCAAGCCCTCCAGCACCAACTCTTTTCCTCCGCTGCATTCCTCCCTCTTTTCTGTCTCCCCCTCTTTCTGCGCTCATTACCTATTCCATCCACCTAATCAGGATGACAATGAAAAGACAAGTAGAATTCACCAACCTTTGAACTCCCCTTTTTGAACCACCTTGTATAATGTAGGAAGCCCAGGAGGCTGAGGAGGGAAATAACTGATTGTGTTAGAGACTTGAAAGAGTTGACTTGAGGGCTTGAGCATTAAACAAGCATGCATAAATGTTCTGCTCTCCTCGTCAATGATAGATCAATGACCGCATTCTCTCTGCCTCCCGTTGTGCAGCTATGGCAGAGTCTATGCAACAGCAGACCCCTACCACCACACGATTGGCCCTGCTGCCACATACAGTGTGGGGACTATGGTAAGTCTACCAGACCACCGCCTCTTCCTGTCTGCACCCTGTCTGAAACATCACGACACGAGCTAGCACACACTGAACTCACACTCCAAAATAAAGAGCAGAGACCGCAGCAGTCACTGGTCTTTATTTGTGTATTTATTCATTAATTGATATTTTTTTTGTCATGCTCTCTGGCACACCCTGGTGGAGCTGAGCAATAGTATAAAACCCCGGCATGTGGAAATTTCTCAGACATTTAGTGCAACAAACGAATGTTATGCCACACAAGTTCACCTCTTGCAATATTGATTTGACACCAGTTTCTCCTGAAATGAGAATGAATGATCACTGCAGTGTTTTTCTTTGTGTTCCTTTTCAACACAAACTTTGCATCTTATATAACAACCACATTTCCAAGCTTTCTGTTCCTTCATTTATCACCCCACTCACCGCAGAGTGAGTTGGATCATCTTTATTCTTTTTTTTTTTTTTCGTTCATCCATGCCAAACCAGAAGGGGTGACGTTGAATTGTTAATGTCTGTTTTTAGCTAGCTTTTGCAGCTACTGTTACATCAAAGATGAAAAAGTGACGATAAATAAAAGAACGTCTTTCTTTGAAACAGAGAGAGTTTCTCTTTGGTTTTGCTTTATGATGAGGAGGGGATGGGACCGAGCTCGCGGACCAAACCTAGATATTAAGGGCCATCAAACGCATGCAGCAGTGTGCCGTGGGACATGAAAGAGAGAGCAAGACGGAGGGAGGGAGTTGTCTCGCCCTCCCCTCCTGCCCACAAGCTTGATCGGAGGCGTGCTCTCTGCATGAGAAATGACTGAAATTTACCATTCCGGCATGCATGCGATTTTTTAACCATATTAAAAAAAAACAGCGTACAGTTCCCCGGTGCAGCTGCTAGCTAAAAGCTTTCATTAATTAAGACATTTCTTTTTCCTCTTCATTTACTTAATTAAAAAATGTGCTTGAATGTTTTTTTTTTCTTTCTTCTTTTTCCTCCAAATTTCCTTCCATTTCTCTGACACTTAAATCGTCCTCTTGATGAAAGTAGAAAACCGGGCTTGGCCCCTAAAAAATATTAGCGCTAATGTTGTGTGTGTTGGGAGCTGAGGGAGCTAACACAGACTCGAGAGGGCGTGTGTGTGTGTGAGAGTGCAGAGTGAGTGTGTTGACCAAATGGCGAGGCTACTGAGAGCTGAGCAGTGCTGAGGCCAACATCAAATAAACTTATGTGCTAAAGAGATACGGCCAGTTTGGTTCCTTATTCTTTTATCATATTTGATGAATGGTTCTCCAGCAGAGAGGAGTCATTTTTGCATTTAAAAGCTATACAATAATTAGTTCCTCTGAGGTTGAGGTTGGAAATTTTCTCAACTCACTCTCAGCGTACAGAATCATCTCATATGGATAAAAGTTTTGTTCAAGCAAGAGGGCTCCCCAAAATTAAACAAAATTAGCCTTTGAAGACATTCAGTAGCCTTTGGAGTTTGTCTGATTTCCTAATTGCAGCGGAGCCACTGAAAGATAAGAGGAGGGCCCGTGTGGTGTGCGCGCGCGCGTGTGTGTGCATGTGTAGGTGTGCATGCAGAGGCCCACGTGCATGCTTTATGTGTGTGTCTGCCCTAGATATCTTGAGCATGGTGCTAAATCTAAGGGCTAATATCCTGTGGTGGTTTGGCCCTACAGAAAGGTGCAGGCACCTCTGCCAGACTTGAAAAGGAGCTGTGATTAAACCTCTCTGAACTTATTCTGCTTTGGTCCAAACTCTGATATTGTTACAGCCTGAAAACAAATGGATTTCCTCAAGTGAAAAAGCACAAAGCGCAGTATTTTCCAATTTATTCCTTAATGTATTAAAAAGAAAAAACTAAGCCCAGAACCCCCAGATTTTAATTTTCAAGAAAGTGCTCTTTTTTGGTGCCATATTTAAAATATTTTACAAACAACAATTAATTGAAATGCACCAGTTAAGCTCCGAATCCACCTTACCTCCTGATGACCCTGTTCCTAACACACACATGCAATCAATTCCAAAAAAAACCAAATTTGGCTTAAACATGTCAAACTATCAATCATACCCATATGAAAACCATTATTCCAATATTAAAACTGATAGGAACTTGCATGGAAAAAGGAAGGAAATTTGTGGAGAAAGAGAAACCGACTACAGCTGTCACTTGAATACTGATTGGTACTTTTTCATCTTTGATGTTGCAGGCTAGCCTATACAGAGGAGGGTACAGTCGCTTCACTCCCTACTAAAAGAAAGAAAAAAAGCGAGAGAAAAGACAGAGACATTACCCCAACAAACTAACAAAAAAAGATCTTTAAGAAAAAAAAAAGACAAACACAAAACAAGCGGTCTTTGGTGGGGAGCTAAATCAAACTAAAAGCTTCCGGGTCCCCATCCCAAGCCCCTCCCCTGACACCGATATTTCTACAACAACCTTTTTGATGTCATCATTGGTCTGCTCTTGTTTTGTATTCATTTTGTGCTTTTGGTTTTCTTTTGGAAAGTTTTATGCACATGTGCATTATCTCGATTGCTGTATATGGGTGCTGTGTCACCATAACCAATGTGAGCCTACTGTAGCACGCATGATGCATGCTCAGAGGTGTGTGTATGCAGCCGCTGTCATCTGACTAAGAATATACTGGGG